GATGTCGTTGACTGCGATGACGTACAGCGATGGTATTAGCAACGGCTGTTTTGTGGCGGGATGATCTTGTTGATGGACGACTGGTTTCTACTAGTCATCTGGCCATTGTTAACCGGTCTTCACTGGTCTTCTGACCATTGTTTACTGGTTTCCATTGGCCATCTGGCCATTGTTCACTGGTATCCACTGGTCATCTGGCCATTGTTTGCTGGTTTTCACTGGTTATCTGGCCATTGTGTACAGGTTTCCAGTGGTCATCTGGACATCGTTTACTGGTTTCCACTGGCCTTCTGGCCATTGTGTACAGGCTACCACTGGTCATCCGGCCATTGTTTACTGGTATCTACTGCCTATCTGGCCATTGCTTACTGGTTTCCACTTGTCATCTGCCATTGTTTGCTGGTTTCCACAGGCCATTGTTTACGCGTGCCTTTGCGCGACAATTGAAAGGAATTGAACGTTGTTAACGTGGGAGTCCACACATGTGTCTCGATCTCAAGTGTGTATCCATAGGGTTCTATGTAAATGGGGTCCTGGGATGTTTTTTTTGGGGGGGGGGGCGGGAGGGGACCCCAGGCGCATGTTTGCTTGTGACTTCGCATCACGTGGCGCCAAGTGGTCACTGTGGTCGGTGCACCGCAAAGCCCTAATAAGCAACTCCACGCCATAAGACCATTCTGATTATTGCACGTATTACTTGGCACCAAGCTGATGGGTGCATGGCAGAGCATTAGACTTAGTGGCGATCAAGATTAACTGAGACGGGTGTGATGTCCTCTTATCTCAATGTGTTTTGCCAAGAGGATGATGCACACACTTGGCCATATTGACAAAGGACTGATAAACGTGCAAGGAGGTAGTTGCCACGCATACAAGCCTGTTCGGACCAGCCTTGCAGTGCTACCCATGCCGTGCGGAGAAGGCGTCCACCTTTTGTTTAGTTCCGGCGGGAGCCTGACGTTAGCAAGTGGCGTTACATGATCGAGCCCGGGCGCAGCGGCACGGGGGTGGGCGTGAAGCCGCGGCTCGGGCTCAGGCAGACTGGCCGCGGCGCGAACCACGTTTTGGATCCGCGGGCATCACTTGCGTGCGCCTCAAACACGCTGCATAGTCGCCGACTCCAGCGAGAGGGCCGAGTCTGCTGGCATGTCATGCCGCGATCACGCTCCGCCGGAAGGGCACCGTGCAGCGCCCTCGCGGGTCGGGGCGGGCACGTTCGACATCCACCGCGGCTCACGGTGCTGAAGTGATCGAACGCCGTCTGAGACGGGCTTCAGTCACGGCAGCCATCGCGCTTGCCGCCCGATTCAGGCGCCACGGAGCCGGCGGCGGCGGCGGCCGTATGCGCCGTCACTGGCGGCGTCGCGGCCGCTCGGTGCCGCTCGGCGGACCCGCCCGCTGTGGCCACATCGTGGCGATAAGGCGCTTGTCTCGGCGCGCGATACGGACCGGTCAGTAGTGCGCGTCGGGCCGCAGGACGTCTCAGACGTGAACGGGCGGGTGTCCGCGAGCACTAGACCGGCTCCGCGCGTCCCCAGCCGGGCGCGGCTCGTCCCCAGCTGCGGGCGTCCGGGGCCCGGGTGAAATCGAGTGCGCGGCGCTGTGACGTGCCTGCGGTGCGTCGAGAGGCCCGCCCGTGACCCACATCGCCCGGCGGCCTGTCGCGCCGCGCGGTCGTCCAGCCGGCCGCCGCTCTGCCGCTGAAGGCGACGCGCGGGGCCCGCACCGCGTCCCGCGTGGGACGCCTGCAGTGCTGTGCGGCGCGCGGCCCGTGGCGATGTGCGCGGAAAGGTCGGCACTGCGGCTGCCGCGGCGCGGGGAGGCGGCCGCCGGCGGCCCGGTGTCCTGGCTGGGCCAGCTGGCGTCGCTGCTCTGCCGCCTGCCCAGCCCGCTGCGGCTGCTCAAGACGGCCTACTGGCGCTGGTACGACGGCCGCGCGCGGCGCCGTTTCCTGCGCCGGCAGCGGCGCTGGCGGCGCGACTGCGCCGGCGCCCTGCCTGACCCCGAGTGGGCAACGCTGGCCGACGGCGGCGGAGGCGGACGCGGGGCGCCGGCGCCGGCCGTCCACACGGTCCGGGTGCTACCGCCGGCCGCCGGCCCGACCGGCCTGACAGAGGTGGGGCCGCGCCCCGGCGCTGCGCCGGCCGCACTCCCGTTAGCGGGATGCTCGGTGACAGGGCCGTGTCTGTTGGCTGACGACACGTAGACGGCTGGAGTGTGTTGTTTAGTTGTGTCGGCGGCGCCTCGGCGCAGGGGGGCGGCCGGTGTCTGGCCCGGTGTTGACTCATGCTCTCCATCTGGCTCTCGTCCCCTCCCACCCCGCGGACGGTGCTGCGGCCCGAGTTCGCGATCGTGCCAGGCTCGCGGCGGCGCTCCGTCTCGCACCCGGTGCTCCGGGGTGCCGCCATTGATTCTACGTCTGGACCTTATCCCAGCGGATTGTGGACAGCCGCTGCGGTCGGTGTGTTCAGAGATCAGCTGAGTGGCAGTCGCGTCAGGCGCCGTCCGGTTTGCGCCGCGCCGCGCCTGCTCCAGCGGCGGGCGCGCAGCTGATACCTCGCCAGCAGAATCGATTTCAACTCCGACTGGCGGTGCCAGCGGTTGATTCCAGATCCGTTTTTCGTCGCCACAGCACAGCCTTGTGGTCACTCTGATTCTGAGTCAAGCAGATGCGGCTCCATTCCTAAATGGTTGCGTTTGAGCCGTTTCCTGCCCATCGGCTTATGAGATAAGCCAGAGCTTACGTAGAGCATGTACGTGAATCATAACAGAACATTGTATTTCATTTTTTATTTCGGCTGCATCAGCTACAGCAGTTGATGCGCCTCCCCCCGCCCCCAACAGAATGTTTCAATGGAAAAAGAACAATATGTTCCAGTGATTAAAGAACAGTATATTTTACTGATATTTGGTATATTTTCTGTGCATGAGAACCTCATGGATAAGAATGTATGTTATTTCGTGTATATGAATTACTCGTGCATAATTCCAGACGTGGCGACTAGCCCAACCCACACAGAGCTTTAAACAATTGATTTCACCCTGACGCAAGCAATATTTTGATGACGTCATAGTCAATTGCACCTTGTCCCGCTGCGCTCTCCCAAGGCTACCGCCCGTTTCCCGCTTGTAGACGTATCCATTCAGCTCGGAGTTGGGGTCACGAGGCCTGGAAGGGTGTCGGTTATCTCTGGGTCCTGGAAGCCCCCTCTGTTGTCGATTAATGTGCTCCCCTGCACTGCCGGGGACGGATATACGGTAAAGCAGGGGGATTTTAGTTGATGATCGATCTGTGCGCGATCATAATGAGCACTTGCCGTCGATAGCTCAGCAGCTCGATATGATCATGCTATTTTTGGTTAACATTCTCAGTGGAGGTGCCATCAACTAAACATAATCTGTGGATCCAGTCATCGTGCATAATGTCACTGTGCTGTCTGTAAGTTTGTTTTCCTTTAACCCAGAGCGCATGTGAGGAGTCAACTAACTTTGACCATGCAGGCCACGAATGTTGAGATTTTGGCGCACGTTACATGAAATCTTGCACGCACACTGTGACTGTGACGTAGACATATTTCACCACAGGGTTTTGAAAGTGTGGTACCTCCTGGTTGGACCATTGGATAAGTCCTGGTCGGACCATTGGATAAGTCCTGGTCGGACCATTGGATAAGTCCTGGCCGGACCATTGGATAAGTCCTGGTTGGACCATTGGATAAGTCCTGGTCGGACCATTGGATAAGTCCTGGTCGGACCATTGAATAAAACTCGGCCGGACCATTGGATAAGTCCTGGTCGGACCATTGGATAAGTCCTGGTCGGACCACTGAATACGTCTCGGTCGGACCATTGAATAAAACTCGGCCGGACCATTGGATAAGTCCTGGTCGGACCATTGGATAAGTCCTGGTCGGACCATTGGATAAGTCCTGGTCGGACCATTGGATAAGTCTCGGTCGGACCATTGGATAAGTCTCGGTCGGACCATTGAATAAAACTCGGCCGGACCATTGGATAAGTCCTGGTCGGACCATTGGATAAGTCCTGGTCGGACCATTGGATATGTCTCGGTCGGACCATTGAATAAAACTCGGCCGGACCATTGGATAAGTCCTGGTCGGACCATTGGATAAGTCCTGGTTGGACCATTGGATAAGTCTCGGTCGGACCATTGAATAAAACTCGGCCGGACCATTGGATAAGTCCTGGTCGGACCATTGGATAAGTCTCGGTCGGACCATTGAATAAAACTCGGCCGGACCATTGGATAAGTCCTGGTCGGACCATTGGATAAGTCCTGGTTGGACCATTGGATAAGTCTCGGTCGGACCGTTGAATAAAACTCGGCCGGACCATTGGATAAGTCCTGGTCGGACCATTGGATAAGTCCTGGTCGGACCATTGAATAAGCCTCGGTCGGACCATTGCCCGCCGGACGTCAGCTGACGCCAAGGCCGCCTGATTCCCACCATGTGTTATCCTTCCGGCCAGGCGTTCTTGAACACGCCGCTGGCATGCCAGAGTTTTTGATCAACAAAAGCCCACAAGCGTCATGTGTGGAATGAGAATAGCTATAAATCACCGCACGTCCAACGGCGCTAAGCTGTCTTCTAACACGCACACATGTGGCGCGGGGACCAATGCCACCTCCGTTGCCCGTTGACCGTGTCACCGCGCCGGGACAGGCCGGCGTGTGGCCGCGACCCGTATACGTTCGGTGGCCAGGCCCTCCCTCGTTTATAATGCTCGATATTTTCGGAGCGATCCATTGAGACGGGATCGTACGCTGTCGCGAACAACATGGAGAACAAGTGGAGGCAAAGATGGCGAAGGACTGGGTGCTCTGAGCGGGCCTTGTCGGTGTTTTTGGAGGCGGCTCCGATTGCTCCCGTGAGCTGTGCCCTGTTCCGTGACGCAGTCCTGAGCACAGTCCGTGAGGTCGGCCTCTGCATTGCAGGCGGCGCCGTGCGCCGGTGGCGCCTCTGGCGGCGGCCGGCTGAACTCGGCGGACCTGCAGGGCCGGCTGGAGGAGAACCGCCGCCAGCTGGCAGCGCTGGGCGCCGAGCCCGACCCGGAGGTGGCCCGCTACCTGGAGGACGAGCGGGTGGCGCTGATGCTGCAGAACGACGAGTTCATGGACGAGCTGCGCCGTAACCGCGACTTCATGGACGCACTCGATGTGGGTGAGTGGGGACGAGGTGCGCGCCGGCCCGGCCTGGGGCGCCGGCTGCTCCGTCGGCCGGCAGCCGGCGCCAGTGTGGGGTGCGCATGGCTAGCCCCGCCTTGGCTCGGCTCGGTAGGCTTGTGAGAGTTTTCCGCCCACCACTGGCGCAGCGCGACCTGTGAACCTCCGCAGCCGGGGCGCGGTCGTGGGGCGCACAGCAGCACGGCCGCCGATCGAGCCCGCTCCTCCCTGAGCGACGCCGGTTTTCCTCAGCGGCCGTTTATTGGCATTAGTTGGCGGCGATACATTTGGTTGCCTAGAGTAGCTTGCGCGTAGCTGGACCCGTTGAAACAGATGGACACCCATTTGCGAGTGGCATGTGGCTTCTGCATTTGACACAGATCGGTGTGCACTCTCGGGAGCTTCAGCTGTTTCCCTGCACGCTTGTGACCGATTTGGATGACTGTGTTGGTTTCACACCCCGGCCGGCGCTGTTTGCAGACACGCCCTCGTTTGCGGCGCCGCACTGGCAGGGATACGGTGAGTCGAAGCAGGGCTGGTGCGCCGCGGCTCCCATGCCTCCCCCTTCCTCCGGCCGTCCCGGCCTCCATGGCGAGGTCTGTGGCCTCGAACTATCCCGGTCCGCACCCCACAGCGGATGGCGACAGCCGGCCGACGTCGTGCTCCGTCTGGCGTTGTCACCAGCTAGCGGGCTGCCGCCATTGCCCTGCGCGCTTCACGTGGGTTCCTCAGCTCCACGCACGTTCCTCCCAGTCTGGTGGCCTTCAGAGGCGCGGGGTAGTCTCGAGACTGGTGCATGTCCGTTCTTCGGCCATTAAGAGGGACGCCTGCTGCCAGACGTCCTTGTATTGGAACAAAAGGACAATCAGAAGGACAGTTGGCGCAGGTCGAGTACGCTTCCAGGACAGATCACATACCTTCAGGCCATTGAAGCGGCTCGCTTTGGCTAGCTTTGTTTGCATTTATAAGGCATTGTGGGGACCGCTGAGGCCAGTTAACACACTGCGTACCGGCTGCAGACCCGCTGCAGATTCCGCAGTCGGCAGCTTTTCCGGCCTGCAGGTACCATTGTTGAGCCTGCGGGCGTGCAAAGCGCGGACAGAGCTTCTTGGCTTCTGTTTGGCGTGGGCTGACTGCCGCGGAATCAGCACGGGATTCTGCTGCCGGTCCGCCAGCTGCCAGCGGGCTTAAGAGCTTAAGCTTTAGAGCTGGGCTCGGCATCCCTCGTTACTCGTGTAATAATGGCAGTTCATATCAGGGGTGGTTTCGTATGAGGTCGAGGTACACTTGTCTTTGTCCCGCACTGGTGGTGTCCCGCACCGTTCAGGTAATCCGCATAGGTGGAGGGGCCATTGATGCCCCTGTCACATGTACTTACAGATCGTATTCAGCCAGTCATTCAGTCATATTTCACTAGATCCAGTAACTGTGATTCAGTCCAGGATGAGCTGTCCTTGCAGAGCAGTTGCTCGTGTTTGAAGCTCCATACTGCGCACCGCAATATCTGTCGCAGGACGATCCCGTTCAAGTTCTCCGCGAACGCCGGGAGCGCATCCTGCAGCGTATTGACTGGCCGTGGCGAGCGGCGGTGCGCCGAGATCGTGGGAACGCGATCCGTGCTGGCCGCCGCGTCCGCGCCGACCCTGAGCCCGTCCCAACTGAGTGTGAGGGTTGACCGGGGTCGGCCGTCGGCAGAGTCGCTGGACGAGACCCAGCACGGTTCCAAGGACACCAACGCCATCCACAAGTACCCCCGACGACGAGGCCTTCAAGGAGCGGCTCAAGCACATGGGCAAAGGTGGGCGAGCGTGCCGGGCTGCTGGTCCGGTGGGGCCGCCGGCCACCGTCCAGCTGTTTGCTGGACACTCAGCGGCCCTCCCTCGGATGCTCCGATGTTCCAAAACGGTCTTCGCCTGCAATGCACCGACACGGTTTAGCAGAAGTTGTGAAAACAAATTCCTGGATTCCCCCTCCCCAGATGCGTGCAAATCCGATCCGATGATCTTCAGTGTTCCCTTCGCCATCAGTCGCCTGTTGGGAATGTGAAGGAGATGGTCGTCCCTTTGTTTCCCATTCAATGAGCACTCCTACCGTCGCTTACACCCGAAGCCCAAGTGGTTTGTTGCACAGTCCGTGATTTTCGTGATTTCTATTATTGTTGCATTAGTGGCAGCTTCCAGCGAGCAGGCCTGATGGGACAGGCAGCACCGTCGTGGAAGGTAGCGCGGGTTGACCACTTCGGCACGTCCAGCGGTGCCGTTGGTTGATAGCTCGCAGCTCGCCAGCCGGCTCCCAGAGCCGAGGCCACCCGTCGCCAGCTCCCGTCCAGTTCGCCGTGCTAACGTGCCGCCGTCGTCGGCTTCAGCCTCTCGGCGGAAGTTCGCCCAGCTGGCGCGGCTGTTCCACTTTAACCGGCGGGGCGGTGCGCGCGCCATGCTGGGCCACGGTCCGGTGCCGGGCGGCGACCAGCTGCTGCTCAGCGACGACCCGCTCACGGCCGGCGACCTGGAACCGGACGAGCCCGGCCACCGGCCGCCCTTTGTGAGTACCGACCCCCGGGTGGCGGCGAGCTGGAGCCGGACGAGCCCGGCCACCGGCCGCCCTTTGTGAGTACCGACCCCCGGGCGGCGGCGAGCTGGAGCCGGACGAGCCCGGCCACCGACCGCCCTTCGTGAGTACCGACCCCCGGGTGGCGGCCAGCTGGAGCCGGACGAGCCCGGCCACCGGCCGCCCTTTGTGAGTACCGACCCCCGGGCGGCGGCCAGCTGGAGCCCGGGTGGCAGCCCGGCCACCAGCCTACCGGCGCCCTGGGCGACGGCTGGGACACGCCGCTGGTGGTGATCACCGGCTCTGGCGGCCAGCCGCCACGATCCCGCCATGTGCCCTGGGCCCTAGTATGACCGGGTGGTGCGACACTCACGGGCTTGGGACGCGGGAGACTTGGACATAAACCTCGGTTCTGCAGTGACGCCTGGTGCGCTAGTATGATCTCAGGGGCAAACAGAGCCGCATTGTCGGGCCGCGGACGACAGCAGGAGGCGGCTGGCGTTCGGCCGGTCAGGCTGCCGGACGAGCGGTTCGGTCAGCCGGTCGATACCTCCCTGCCGGTCTCCGCCAGGCAATCAATAGGGTCGTGGTGTTGGTCGCAACTTGTAATGCTACACAATCCCATGCCCGAACCATTTGTGAGGGTGGTGGGCGGAGAGGGGGCGAGACGCCGCTCGCAGCGCGCCGGTCGGCGCGTGCGTCGCGGCGCGCCTCGCCGGCGAACCGGACCTGACCTGACCTGACCGGCCCGGCCGTCCCCGGCGCAGGAGGACCGGCACACGGTGGAGACGTCGCCCCGGGAGGGGGGCGGCCGGCGCCACCACCAGCTGGTGTGAGCGGCCTCCGTCCGCTCCGCCCGCCGCCGACGGAGCGCGGCCAACACGGCGACGACTGCAGCCCGCCAACAGCCGCGGCACACCGGAACCCGGTGTCCGTGCCGCGCTGTTCGTGCGATGCCATTCTGCACGTCCTATTCAGCGCGCGTGCGTGGGATGGGTGAGCTAGAAATCAATGTGCCCTTTGCAACCGACGGAATGATATTTTTGGCGGGTTTTCGGTGCCAGTAATATGACTTATTATAGACGTTGGTCAGATATCCCGCAGGTTGTACAACGGGAGCGCGCTGGTGAGCGACCACTGACCAGCGTGTGAGGTCTTAGTTTGATCGCTCGTTGTTTGCAGCTACGCTCTTTTTGTTCTGGTGACTTTACGTACTGTAATTAACGGTTCTGATTTGTTGGTACGGCTTTGCATGGTGAATACCCGTTAATCAAATGCATCATATATGCAATATTTATGTATAATTATACAGGTATATTTGTTTTGCCGGTGCCCGATGTTTGCCGGGTTTTGAGCTTGTTTATGGACAATGCGGCGCCCTTACCAGATACCGAGTCCACGTGTCCTGTGATAGCTCGAGCCCCTGGGCTCGCCCTGGTCCGGCCGCCCGCCCGGGGCTGTCCCGGCCGCAGAATCTCACGTCCCATCGCGCTGCCGCCCGTGCGCTTCCATGCCGCCGCGCGCGGCTCACCGCCCCCTGTATTTAGCGGCGGGATGGATAGAGCCGACTGTGTCGCCCAGGGGCTCGTGGCGTCGGCCGCTGACGGCGGTGGCCTCACCTGTGTTGGTCCGACGGCGGGCGGCGGCCCCGGCCTCGCGCGTCGGGCGGCTCCAGCGCGTGGCCGGCTCCGTGGGGGCCGCCGCCAGCTCGCGGGGTGCCGAGCCCGACGGCGGCTGCGCCGCACTCCAGTGCCTCTCGCCGTCCGGCCTGTGTGGGCGCCCGGCCGCTGCCGGCTCCGCCGCGCGTGACCTGGTCCCGTGCTCACTCGCCGCGCCGTGCCGTGCCGCTACTGCGTCCGATCCCGCCGAGTGCTCCGGGTGGCCCCGCCGGACGCCGCGTCTGCCGGCCGACACTGCGACCGCCGGCTTCCCGGCGCCGGTGGCAGAGGCAGTTGGCTGGATGGGTGCACGGGTGGAGCGGACCGCGTGACGTCCGCCATGTCGTGACTCCCCCGGTCAGCGCCGCGCCGGTGACGTCCGCCATGTCGTGACTCCCCTGGTCAGCGCCGCGCCGGTGACGTCCGCCATGTCGTGACTCCCCTGGTCAGCGCCGCGCCGGTGACGTCCGCCATGTCATGACTCCCCTGGTCAGCGCCGCGCCGGTGACGTCCGTCATATGGATGGACGAGCCGTCGGCTCATTGTACGCAGCGCTCAGCCCAGCTGACCCTCTGATGCACGATATTGTCATTTATCGCCGATATGGCATTCTCGGAGCGCACTGGTGTGGGAGCGATCAATACATAGCACCTGCGGATTTCTGGCGTTTTGCTGCATTCCGGCTGGCTGTAACGCTCTGCAGGAGTCCGTGCTGACAATGCATCCGAGCCCGCCTCCAGCTGGCGCCCAGAGGCGTCCGCATCTCCAGCAAGCAGAATGGCTCCCAAATATTCACGGAACACCGCTAAACCGACGGTACGCCTGAATGATGGAGTTCTGCAGACCGCCTGCAGACCGCCTGCAGGTCGCCAGGCGGCGCCGCTGGTTCGCCCGTGCCGCTCGAGGACGGCCGTGCGTTCAGCCCCGCCCGCTGTAATCACCTGCCGTGCTTCATTACCGGCTGGACGGGAACTGGACACCCGATACGTGTGGGGCCTGGACAGCGCTTTGGACCGACAGGCTCGTGTCGTGCGCAGAGATGACAGCGGCCGCCTCGTGGCACGTCCGCGGCTCGTGTCGTGCGCAGAGATGACAGCGGCCGCCTCGTGGCACGTCCGCGACTCGTGTCGTGCGCGGAGATGGCAGCGGCTGCCTCGTGGCACGTCCGCGACTCGTGTCGTGCACGGAGATGACAGCGGCTGCCTCGTGGCACGTCCGCGGTTCGTGTCGTGCGTGGAGATGACAGCGGCCGCCTCGTGGCACGTCCGTGTCCGCGTGACTCTCGGCCTGTCACTCGATCCGGCCGCATCTCAGCGCCCCGTCCAAGACAAAACGCGCGGACGCTCGGAGCGCGACCGGCGGCGACCGCGTCAAACCACAGGCGCAGACGAGCAGAGGGCCTTGTATTGGCTGGGCGGCGCGGCCGGCTGACACTCGGCGCCGCGCTCGCCGGCTCTGCAAAGCGGACGCCGTCGGGCCGTCTTGGCGCTCCGGTGCGGCCGCTCCTCCGCCTCAATGCGTGAACAGGCGCAGGGCTGGGTCGTACCGGAACGGCGGCACGCGGTCGCGACCCCTGGAACGGCAGACGATGACGTCACTGGTGGCCGCCACAACACGGGAGGATGTGGGGCTGTGGGCGCCCGCACGCCCTCACTCTCGGCGGACGTCGCCTCTGGATTTGAGAACTGACACGGGGGATGTCATGCTCCACACCCACCCTTGCCGCCGCTCCAGCTCCAGTCCGCACGCGTACGCCCACGTCACGTCCGACTGGGGGTGCGCTCTTTGCTGCCGCGTCAACTGCTATACTGCTGCTCTTCTTCACACTTCTTCACGCACACAAAAACTTCATTTGCATGTGCAAGATTGAGCATGATTGAGTGAATCACTACCTGCCGCACACGGCGAAGAACTTCTCCCTCGCAACCTCAAAGTCTGACTCAATACCGAATCGTTGCATTCCATACAATGGTAAAAAAACGCGGTTAAAAGAATGGCACACATTGGCCGCAAAATTCCAGATAAAGTTTAAGCATTCCCCTAATATTGCACCTAACGGCGTTAGATATTCAAAAACAGTACTTGTGTCCCAATTTATGGTGACAATTCATTTATCCGCGTTTCGGCTATGCGTGACTGCTTTGTAGGTCACGGATGATGTCTCTGAACACAAAAGTTAGTGGATTTGCGGTTTACCGACATCGCTTTTCTCCCAGCCCGTCGGCTGCAAGGCGTAAAATGCTCGCAAAAAGAACACGTATTGCCGCGCAGACACACCAATCGGCGCGGTGGAAGCCCAAGTTCGGTAGAGCGCTGAAGTTATAAAGACCGTATTCGTGATGTGGCGAAACGCGTGGTGATATGTTCGCCTTCCAGAATAAGCTTTCGTACAGGGCTCGTCAAAGAGGGCCGTTTGGCCGTTGGCTTGGAAGCGTCAGCCTGGTTACAGGGCGGCCGACAGTCCTGTGGTCGTATGGCATGGTAAGGGCCCTTTCACGCAATTTCGACAAGGGGCCGAGGCAAAACGGATGCGTTGAACATGCATTACATTAATGGAATGGCGGGTTCGGAGTCCTAGCCATTATGTTCAACACGGAATCAAATTGAAAATCTGTCCCGACAAAATGTTCGTTTCCGTATTGTTTCTCATTTTGTAGTTGCACTAGACCTGTAATCTAACCTAACAATCTCGCGATCCCTCCCCCCCCCCGCTCCAAAAAAACTAAATATGTTGAATGATTTTGTTTTCTCATGAGACCTTACAGCAAAGCAATTCGGGTTTCAACTGCAAGCAAAACGATGGAAGGTTCGTAACCCGCCATGGGTAGAAAACCAAATGTTGCTTCGGATGCAAGTTTCCACGAGACCGGTACATCAGTGGGATCAATGTCAGGTCTGGTTTGTAGGGAGAACAAGAGTCTGGGCTTAAGTTTGATGGACAAAACAAAACACAAAAGTCAAATGTAAAATGGCTTACTCCTAAAGTCTAGTGACCGCTCACAAATCATAAAGGGCACAGATTGCCATTCGTATATCTAATACTGAAACTAAATACGAGCAGGTACGTATCCTTTTCCACCTTCAAAACGACCCACAAACTGGTTTGAGAGCTACGCCACCAAGTGCGCAGGAGTCAGCTGATTGGCCGGGAGCGGCTGACGTCAGTGGACCAAGTGGATACATGGCCGTAGCAGGGATGACGGGGGCCGAGCAGGTCCTCTGGTCACCTTTGTTTTCATCAACGAAGGGCTCAAACAGATGCCGCCATGTGTCAGCATGGCGGGCGCCGCTCGGCCAGCCGCTTAAAACCACCGTTGTCGGGCCGTCCCCTGCGATCAATGGCAGACGACGGGAGGAACGCGCAGTGACGCGCATTGATTCTTGTGGCGCTCCGACAGATCTGGCAAAGTCGCGACCGTCAAGCACGGCCGCTCATTAGTGTATGGCTCGGACGGCGCAGCGTGGTCGCGAGCAGCGCCTGTGTATCTGGCAGAGATGGTGCGATTTCCGCAGCCGGTAGCGTGGGATGTGATGTGAATCAGCGCGTACGTGCGTGCGTGCGTGTGCTGCATACTGAATCACATGTCATCAAAGATGAACAAAAAATATCCCGAGTGAATCAGGACAGCATCCATTACATTTGTTTTAAATAGGGGGATCAACACTAGAAGACGAATGTCCTCGCCGAAAGTTCCCCCGATCACACCCACCCGTAAAAGCAAAAAACAAAAACACAAATATAAATCGGTATCGCCTACTACAAATGCGAACCAACTGAATATTGCAACTTTTGAACATTGTCTTCAATTGCAACGCTTTCAAGCAAATGTTGTCACGATAGATGTATGTGGTGTGATTGTGCGGGGTGTGCACCCTCGCCCTTGCTGTCTTCCGAGCTCTACATCTGACTGGGTGTCGGGGGGCGTCACGTGATCGCGGGCGTCCCGATTCGCCGGGGGTCAAGGGTCGGCCGCTGAGGCGGCGGCAGGGACCCGACGCTCGCAGGTGCCAGTCGGTTTTTGGACGAGTCGAGGCGAATACGCGCTACGTTCTCTTACAATGTACTTCAGATGGTACTCGACAACAATTTGGCCCACGGAAAGGTCCAGATTGCAAAATTATCGGGGCGTGCAGAGAAAGCTTCCCGAAAAAAATGAAACACTCCGTAAGAATCATGACCGGGCTGAAAAAAATGAAACATTCCGTAAAAATCAAGACCGGGCTTCCGCTTCCTTCTTGCTTCAATAGAAGCAGTTTTACGAAATATCGTTTTCTTAAATAAAAAAACAAGCGCCAACGTGTGCAACATTTCTGATGAATGATACTGATAATGATCCTACGGATTACGACTGCGACTGAGTTTGCTCTGACTACCTCGGTGATCTGCCTCTGTGCGACAAAGGATAGGTTTGACCGTACCACTAACAAAACATGTAGGTGGGGTCAACATTGGCCATCAGGCAACAGCGGCAATGGAATCGAATGTGAATCAAGAGAGAAGACGTGATTGATCCCGTGACCTTTTTGGTGAGACCAGGTCCTGTATATTGGCTCCGCCAATATCATCTCTGAATAAAATATTCCGAAATTTGCAAAAAACAATCCATGCGGTACAGTCTGTTTCGAACACTTTTCTGTAAACGCCGACACATAGTTACACAATTTCGGGCGAACCCAATTACGGGAGACGAATACCAGCCAGCGGTACTTCCTATAAGGTGCCGTTCCAATCACAGCTGTGCAGCCGAAGCCAACGTGCAGAAGGCAATATGGCAAGCGTTCTGAATCTGCTGATTGAAACCCACCTTGGGGAAGAAAATTGTGCTTTGCTTACGACACAATAACCTTAGAGATTTTCGGTGGGCCCAATCTCTCAAAGCGCACTTCCGCAAAAATCATCGAGCGATTCACGCAAAACGTGAACTACGTTAACGATCCATTGCAAACACAGGCATCAACACGAACGTTACAACTGCGTCTGCATGTATCCTGATTACACCTGAAAGCGCTCGTCAGTGCCTGAGGGTGTTCCCAGCGTGACCGGGGGGGGGGGGGGGGGGCACCACGCCGACCGGCGGTGGGTCCGGCCGCCTCACCGGTGCTGACGCAGCATCAGTCGTTGCGGCGCCGGCGGAGCGGCGTCGTCCGCCTCGCGCAGAACGTCGAGGCCCGAACAGGCGGCCGCCAGCAGCGCCGGCAGCAGCGCCGGCCGGCCGGCCGCGCCCAGCCGCGCCGGCAGCGCCACGTTCAGCTCGTGCTCCAGCACCTGACGCGGCGAGCAGGTCAGCGTCAAGGGACCGGGCCGGAGGGTCGGCACGGCGGGGCGGCAGGCGGGCAGGAGGCGGCGGGTCAGGGGAGGCCGACCACCGGTCACGGCCGGCACAGCATCGGTCAGTGATGGCCCGCTGTTGTTAGATGGCGTGGTCAAAGACAATGCGCTGTAAGATGACCATGGAGACCCGCTCACTGAAGCTGCCGTGTTGAGCAGCCGGTCTAGTTTTGGTCTAGACCACACTTGTGGTCAGTGAAGCCTGGCAGTTGCCGGCCGGCGTCCCCTGCCGCATGTCCCGGCGCTGGTCCGCGCCGCACCAGCCGGCCGGCCGCAGCGCCGCATGGCCAGCGCCGACCGCCGGCCCCGTCGCGCTGGTTCGGGCCGGTGCGCCCCGCTGTTACCGATTGATCAGACAGGAGCGCATTCGTTCCGTTTTCTCAGTACGAGCCGCCGGCGAAACGACCGGGGCAGATCTAGCTAGTGGCATGTACAGAACCTCGTTGGCTAATGACTTCGTCGTTCCGGAGCTTGAGCCAGCCGCAAGACTGGGACCGGGACAATGTCCATCAGCTTGAGATGGACCATACAATATACGATTGGCTCGGCGGCTGAGGGCGTTCTAACGCTGATACAACCCCGCAAAACAAGCTGTCAGCCACGGAGTGATTGGTCTGACTCGTGATGATCGCACTTAGTTTAGATTATTTGGAACAAGCTGCGCGAGAAGCTGGCAAGAAACACCGGGAAGGGCCCAGACCTTGGTTAAGGTAAAAAAAAAACAGGAAACTGACGGCGACACCCGGTCAAGGTCACAGAGGAGTTGCTTCTTTGTCACCTGTTACGCAACGCTACACTGTTACGTAACAGATGCGCGCGCGCGCGGCCGTGGGGGTCCGCTGGCCGGCGACCTACCCGCAGTGAGGGCTGGCGGGCCGTCTGCGGCCGGTCCCGCCCGGTGAGCAGCAGCCCGACCACAGGCGGCACCCGCGGGTGCTGAGGGCTCAGCGCCACGTAACAGCACAGCTGCGCCTCTGGGGAAGAGGAGCACACCCGTCGGCGGCAGGGCACCACACGGCCACACGCTGCGCCACGGCGGGCGGCCTCCCACAAAACACCAGACCAGTGACCAGTGGCATAAAGAGAGAATGGCGCATAATTGTGGCGTAGAGGGTAGCTTCCCAAGCTTCGATTTCGAGTCCGGCTGCATCAAGTAAGAAGTAATCATGTACTCCTGCGGCCGCAAGATTCCATTACTTACGGAGTAACTCATTACTCAGTACTTCACCAAGCATAGATTCGGCTTCACAAATGTAGCTGATTTGGCCGTGCAGCGAACATTCACTTCGAAAATGAAGTAAAAGAAGGATGCTCTGTCCGTCATAAAATCAGCAGTGATCATCATAGAGTAGCTCGCGCACGGCAATGCAGGAGCTGAGGAACAAAACAGGCCGAGAATCAACCTGCAGTGAGACATTGCTGAGCAAGAGGCAATGCAAAAAATGATTTTAAAAAATCCCAAACCTAGCTGCCAGCGTGACTTCTTCGCCCACGTGGATTTGACCACGTGTCTGACCTACGAGAGACTTTTCGATGGATGTCGCCTCGACACGCGGCAGAGTTTCAAGTCGTCACTCCGGCTCATAAGGTAATGCTGCACAGCGAGCCGGACGTGTGAGGGCTGTGTTTGTGTTCAACCGCAACATACGCTCCCGACCCACCCGGCAGGACAGGCTCCTACACCTCTCCAGGCCGAGAACCGAGGCCGGTAGGAGACGTTTTGGATACCACGCGCCAGCATTGTATAATGTCCTGACAGCCGATGCTACGCAGCTAACACAGCGGCGCTTCGTACACGCGGAGGTGCGAGCGCACCAGTCTGAGCGTTAATCCTATTGTACCCAGTGAGTGGGTGTCTGTGTGCAACATGTTCCATTTTTTGCCTGCATGTTTTTATCTCCTGCACTTTTGACACGGGGCTGAATAGCCACGCCCCTTTGCGGATGGCGCTATGGACGTAATACATTCACACATACAATCGATGTCAGCATATCAAGGGCGGCCTTAGTATATAGCACGGACGTGCACTTATATCCCAGAAAATCAAGGTAACTGCAGTTCGTGTAGTGCCTTTGTAGGCATGACAAACATGTGTCAGGAAGCGTGGTGGATAAAGCTAGAGGCAGATTTGAATACAAACCTCTTTCGCGCATATCACGAATTTCACGATATCATTTTTGTTCTCGCTATGACACAGACAGACATGACATATGTTCGCAAAACGCACTACCTTGAGTAAGGTTAAGGCCAGCTACAAGAGGGAACCTAATAGCTGGTTCATATGACTGATCTTTCAGGTATTTCTTCATTATCCTTCGGATGCATACTGCATGTGCACGTGCTACAGAGAAACTCAGGGCATGAAGCGTAGATATAACGGACTAGGTAGGACAACAGCTGTCCGCCAGTCCGTCAGAGCCGCCGCCATCTTGGTAAAGACATGGAGCCGTCCGTCCGGGTTGGCCGATACGTTGGAAGGGACCGGTATTGGGTGTTCGTGGCAGACACTTCGCTGATGTGTGGCTTTCGTTGGATATATTGCGTGGTAGCATGGTCTCTACAAGCTACAACTATACCCAACTGATCATGGAATTGTTCTTTCGTGCTATCATAGTTAAGATGGTGGTGACGGTGCCAGTCGGAGGCGCCAATCAGGTAGCATAATTCCCTTTCAAATGGACATTGGTGTCCAGCTCGAGCCAGAGATCTCCAGTTGCTTTCTTATATAACGTCTTTGGACTTCTTAACTGAGCTGTCCGACTTCTTGTATTTGGCTTAACCAGCTCAGCAACTCTTCATGTTGTGCATTCAGCATATTGCAATTACTAGTTTCTGTTACAAAAACTTACCGCTTGGTCTCTGGATGGTGTATTTTTCTAAGTGGCGAGCCACACAAATTCTAATTGCGTGCTGCTTTTGTCTCTGTAGCAAACAGTGCATCCAATCTTGTCTCAAAATTATGATATTGCTTTAGGTTTTCTGTTCCTAACATATACCCAGTGTTTTTTTTTGTGTTTATGTGCGAAAATCGCAATAGCATAACTGAAGGTTGCGCATTTTGCTAAAACATTCTAGCAAAATGGCTGACGGCGTATGCTCGCCCTTGGCTAGCCAGAGCACTCAACTTCCGGCCACGTATGTTTGCTAAATGATTATGGTAAGTGCCTTTTTGTGCAAAAGTTTTGTCACGATGCATCTTTGATTTTTGGTACCATGCGTAACTACATGGACATACCTCAGTGTCTCAAAGAGTGGATATTACTTCTTTTGTACCTATTATCATAGCTGACAGAACAGAAGCGTCATCGCGGAGTGAAATCTGGCCCACTGAGTACTGATTATTCCCTGGAATTAGAAGCTGATACAGATGGCATAAAGGAGGCCGTTTTTGGTTTGAACTTTTCATCCACACTGATACCTTTCACCGCCTGGTTAGGTTAGCATTTAGCACATTACACAGTCCACTCTCTTATCAATTGTCGAGACAAGCCTGCCACATGTCCGTAAACAGTTGTGGATTATCTTACTCTTACGCCTATGGTTAGAACTAAAACCTTAAAAGATAGACTGCCTGTTTGCCGCTATTGCCATTTTGGCAGTGTTGGCTTATTACTGCGTCCATCTGTTTTCATTGTGCATTTAAAATTGCAACCAATTGTTTCGTGTTTTAAATGCCTATTTAAATCATTTGCACATTTGGCCAATTTCAATTATTTAAACCTGAATGTTTCAGGAAACAGGTATATTATCAATTCAAACCACGGAAAAATTTAAAATCAAAATATATGCCAAAGGAAATTGCGCACCGCGAAATGCTGGCCCCCTAATGTACGTACTAGTGTTTAATACACTGTTTATACCCTACGCCGACAAACACACGCACGCACGCACGCACATATATGTATATATATGGGCTCCATGCACGGACCGTTCCCATACGTTAATGTTATGTCATGGCGCAATCTCACATATAGCTGCCGATAAATTTTGGTTTTCCTACACCTCCGCAGCCAGGGGACTCAGGTGACGCCCACTGTCCGGCCCACATCCGCGGTCACGGGGCTGAGGTGATGCCCGCTGTCCGGGGCCAGCCGGCGCGCCCCAGCCACCCCCACCCGCCACCCTTGCCAGTGCGGCACTCACCGTTCCCGTGGGCGATGCGCGCCAAAAAGCAGCTGCAGCTGTCGTCCAGCAGGTCGGCGCTGAGCACGCCCGAGGCGCGGTACGTCTCGACGCTGACGGGCTGCCACGAGACCAGCCGGGAGTCGCGGCGCGCCGGGAAGCTGGCCCGCAGCTGCTCCGACAGCGGCAGCTCGCCGGACGCTGAGGACGACCACCTCGGCGTCAGTCGCGCCGGTGACCGGAGCAGCAGCGGGCGACGGCGGCGGCAGCAGCCACCGCCGTACTGCGGCCGGCCATGGCCACGGCCAGCGGTCACCGCCGGCTGCGATCCCCGCAACGAGCGGCGTGCTTCGGACTACTTCACGCTAACACATTCGGACGGGAGTGTCCGAGGTCGACGCCTGAGGCGGCTTGAAAGTCGGTGATCAGATACGTGACGGTGCGGGTCGCCCGACAACCGCCGAGTTCGGCAGTGGAATGTGTGCGCCGGGCCTCATGCCCACCGGTGACGAGCCAGACTGGCTGGTCACGCCGGCCACCAATGCCGCCCCGAACCACCGGCCAACCCCGTCCATGCTTTCCTCGGCCGTCCAAGGAGGGCTTCTGCGCCGAGCCGGCCGGCCGAGCCCGGCAACTCGTCGAGTCGGGCGCGTGCGGTGCGCGAGCCGCGGGCGGTGTACGACCGGGCCGTCCCCCGGCCGCTCCCGGCCGCTCCCGGCCGCCGTCCCCACTCACCTATGGCGGCCAGCTGGCTCTGGAGAGCGACGCGCGCTCGCAGTCGGGCGCGGACCCGGCGCACGGCAGACTCCACGTGCAGCGCGCTGACCGCCTCGCTGGCCACCGGCGCGCCCTGGCGGCCAGCCGGCAGCGGATCAGACGGAGTGACGGCCCGTGGGGCCAGGCCACGCGGCGGAGGGGAGCAGACGGCAGGGATGGTATCACGTGTGACACCGCTCATCTCGTGTGACGGGCGCCGCCCTCTCGGATCTGGTAGACTGTTCCCTTTAAGTCCAGGCGTGCCTCCTCGGTCAAAGTAGCTCCGCACCGCTATGACTCGATGTATTATTCCTATGATCCAAGTGGCCCTCCCCGCTCTGCCTAGCCTCCCTGCCAGGCGGCCTATCCCACTCCCCCTCCCGCTCTACCAGCCCCCCTCCCCCCACCCGGTCTGCCCTGACTTCCTGCCCGGTCTGCCCTGACTCCCTGCCCGGTCTGCCCTGACTCCCTGCCCGATTTGCCCTGACTCCCTACCAGGCGGCCGGTCCTCCTCCCCCTCCCCGCTCTGCCAGCTCCCCTGCCTGATCTGCCCTGACTCCCTGCCCGGTCTGCCCTGACTCCCCGCCCGATCTGTCCCGACTCCGCTGTTCCGGCTCCGCCTGCCGCGCTGCTCCGTGCTCACCTGTTCGCTGCCGTCCGAGGCGAACTCGAGGCCGGCCAGGCGCTGAGCCCAGAGGTAGGGCCGGCCCACCTGTCCAGCGGCCACGTACTGGCGCAGCGGCGCCAGGCAGGCGCGCCGCAGCTGGTGGGCGGTGGCGGCGCCCGGCGCGTCGGTGCCGCTGTCGCCCGGCTCCAGGTGGTCCAGCAGCGTCTCGGCAGAGAGCAGCGGCCTACCGGTCACGGGGGGCGGGGGGGGGGGCGGCTCGACCCGGTCAGCAATCAACACAGGCGCCCTGGCCAAAACAGGCGGAAGGCGTCACGTGCATCTGGCTCGACGGAGCGCACGCAGCAGCACACGTGCGCCGCTGACAAGGGCGGCGCGCTTCCAACGCTAATTTGGTGCACTCAACGCCGCATGTGTTTCCGCAAAGGTGGCTTAGCGGCTAGCCCTGGTCAGCTTGGCGGCTCGGGCAGCTGGATCGGCTCCGTGCAGCTCATGGAGGCGGCTTTATTTTTAGCACCGACCGATTACCCCCGCCGCCAATGAGAAGCGACGCGGCGACGGAGCGACACGTGATCTCTTGCCGACACGACGGAATCTGGCCGCGTGGCCGCATGTGGCGGCGCAAGCGTCTTCAGCCCTGTTCGATCTGTTGTTTTAGTTTTTGTGCGTGTTTTGTGTGAAAAACTAGTGAAGTTTTTTTACTTCATTTTCCTTTATTCCTTGCTTTTTAAGTATTTCAGACCACACTACCTCTGCTTTATCGGCGACCATGGCACACTACCTACAGAGAGGTGTGTGGAAGTGTGGCTCCTGCTCTGGTGTTACAATCATCTTTTCCACTCGTGGGTTGAATGTTTCTCCCCATTACCATCTCACTGAAATGTCTTCACTTCCCAACTTAAGTGTTCACTCATTTTTTGTAGAAAAGGTCTATCGATCCTCCACTGCTAGTTGTACTGGCATGAAGCCCATTCTTTCATCGAACTCGCACCTTTACTGACAAAGCCCATGTTCTAGACGCGAAGCACTTCGTTCCTGTTCTCCATCTTTCACGATTACTCTAACACCATTAATTTACTGTGGCACACAACCACACACGGCATAAATCACTGTCAATCGCCTTTGCATGGCCCCTCTTAGCAGACCCATTCGCTTCTTATACAAGCTACGTCGCATTGCCCAGATTTGGAGCCAAGTGCCCCACCCTAACCGACGCGCTCGCAAACGCAAGAGTATCCACATCAAGCCCGCGATTCTATGTCAGATCGATGTATTTATTTTGATAGCGCTATCCCTCCACGCTGATGGACTGCCAAAAAATCCTGGCATTAGCGTCAGCCGGGGCATGACGTCACAAACCACTTGACTTCGAGGTCATGTGACGGGATGTCGGGAGAATACTGAACCGTGATTGGTGCTGACAAACCTGCTGACGACAGATCAGACGCCACGTGCAACAAACCTCTTCCGCATTGATTCCATAAAAAAATTCCCACCAAATGCGCAGTTAAACATGCCGCCATCCTAACACCAACGCGATGAAAGGCACCGGAGGAAGGGCTCGTTACCAACGGATCTGGAAATTCTTAACGTCACCGCGCTAAGCTAACGGAGCTGCCTCCACTCCGCGAAGCTCCAGCTCCGCTGAGACTCACCCGCTCACAGGGCAGTCCTTAATGGCGACCGAGACGGTGACGATGTCCAGCTGGGTCAGATGGACGAACTCCAGCACAAGTCGTCCCAGGTCTGAAACACGCAGGTGCCGCACCAACACTGCCGCTGTCACGCCCCTGACTGCGACGCGGCGTCCGATGGAGATGACCGCACGGCGACAGGTCGCTGCATCCACACAGCGCCGATAACGCCGCACACGTCACGTGACCGGCCGACATGCGACACGCATCTGTCGCCGACTGCTCCTGGCTGCCCGGACGGCTGCCAGGCCAGGGCCCACCCGAAACATACGGCGCTCTGCCGCCGTCGCCGCCGACGCCGGAGCGCCTGGGTCGCGCACGCGCCCGCCGACGCACCTTCACAGACGATTTCGACCACCACCAGCAGCGGGTGTTTGTGCAGCAGCCTCCGGCGGCGCTGCTCCTCCTCCTCGCGGCCCGTCTTGCGATGACGTTTTTTGTGGCGCACCTCCTCCTGCAACGCGCCAGAAACGACGCCGGCCCCGTCAGCGCGGCTCATCAACCAGCAGCGGACAAGGAGACCCGGCAGCGACCGGACGGGCGGGGACGTGGAGCCGCGTCACGCTCGTCCACGCTGCGTGCTCATCTGAACATGACCAATGCTGTCGCCGTGCCGCCGTGACCGCTGCGGCCACTCCTCTCAAAGGCGCGCACGCCTCCCCATGATATTTTGTAAGACATATGCACATGCGAGCACACTCACAGATTTCACCAGCTTTCTTGAATTCCAACAGGCTGCTCACCTTAAGGAACTGCATCTAAAAAACACTGCGTTTGCTGAATTATGCGTAGGACGAGCAGCTTGGTTAGTTCGAAAAACATTCGCGCGCTGACTGGAAGCCCGCAAAAACGAATGACATTGGAACACACACCACAGAGGACTGTGGCCGCGGAATGTGCCCCTCCTCTTCCCCTCCCCCCCCCCCCCCTCCTCGAAACGTCACTCCATTCGCCATCCCATAAAAGTTGGAGGCGCACTACTTGCATAACGCGAGGAGCTTACGAAAAACTATTGTGTGTAATTTTAGCGGCTAGAGTTATATCCGGGTCAAAGGAGGCTTCGAAATACAGTCCGCGAGCTTTACTGTCGGTGGACAAGCGCCGTTTGTTTCTGTACCAGTGCGTCTATAGTTCTTGTACAGGAACAGTACCAGTACTGCACTGGTACTGGCTGCAGTACCAGTGCCGATCTATATGTCAATAACATCATGCTTCGCATATATTTTATACTGCCTTGTATATGATGCGTTGGTTTATCAGGTCATATTAGATGTGCTTGCTTTCGCGTCGTGTTTTGATTACAAACGACCGGGGTCTAGATTGCGCCCAAACACTACCGCGAGACAAGAACCTACCATTTAAGGTCAGAGCCTTAGAAATCCACGCCAGCTGATTTTAGTGAAGATATGCCAATGAGGTGGGGGAAAATTTGTCCTTTCAGCGCAAAATGTATCGTAAATTCCGGCATTAAGTACCATGCGCCAGTTAGCAGCTCCAGAAACACTAAAATCGCCCGACTTCATCTTGGTTTTCGTGACCATTGGCAGAAATGTATTAAATTCCTTCGGATTTGAAACTGGGCGGAACAAAGCCGATTGGCATAAGAACATTTGCCTGTCGTTCTTCCACCCGTCTGAAGTCGCTCAATCTGTTCTTCTGGCTTATTATCACTGACGAGTTCGTCTGCAGGCTTCTTTACTTCAAACTGCTTCATTTTTCCGTTAAAACTCCTCCCTCCGGCAGCGTGGTCCGGTGCTGCACAATCAGTCTCGTTTCGCTCCGCTGCGAGCTGATGGTGGGCGTTCAGAAACCGTTGGCCAGTGCCTCGACCAAATGTACACATTATTACGACGGTTTTCAGATGCGTGATCTTACTGATCCGCCAACCCTGCCTTTTCCTTTCCCCTCCCCCTCTAACTGTCCAAGCTTGTGACGCCCTCGCCAATGGCCGACGGGAGCGGACAGCGGCGGTCTATCTGTCGACACCGGGCTTACGAAAGCCGGCCGAGCCGGGCTTACAGAAGATCCCGCCAATCACTGCAGCCACACAGCACGCTGCACATGGTGACCGGTACCTCTCAGCTCTGGTCAGCTGACCGGGAGACTTAACTCTGGCTTGACATTTCTTGTGACATCCGGGCAAAGCCATCCGCAGCTGACTTACCATAATTAACCATTCGGCGAATATACAAAGGTGCGCCAGATTTTACCCCATCTCACGTGCGTTGTAAGGCACGATCCTTTAGGTGACGGTAGCCCTGGACGTTGCCATCGACAGACATATTTCTCGACAAAGGTGAGAATGCGGCGCAAGCTGAAATAAGTCAATGTAAGCTTTGCCGTAGGCACAAAGACTGTTCAGCGGCGGGTTGCCTTGGAGGGCTGCGACGGTCGACGGTGGTAAATGCAGTGACGGCCGGGGTAGCCCGGGGGACGGCCGGGGTAGTCCGGGGGTAGCCCGGGGCGCTTGGGCGGCGTTGCATTTTCTGCCGTCGGCCTTCGATACCGTGCGGGAATTCGCACTGACCCGGGTCAGAATAACCACTTTACCAGCCCAGCGAGGCGGTAGTTCGTCGTGCACACGCAAACGTGATGGATGGAAACGCCATGTCTATTGCAGCTTCATGGATGGAATAATTATTCCCGTCTGGACTATCGGACTACCAGAAGTCATAAAGATCGGTAGTTACAAAATCTTTGTGACAACGAAGTAGGCAACAAAGGTCCTTATTCTTCCCCATTAGTTCAGTTGGTGGAGCAATGGACTTGCAATCAGGAGACCCCGGCTCAAATCCCAGCGACTCCAATGAGATATCTCGGGTTTGACGCACACCTGGCCGACAGTCAAGCATCGTCAGCCCCTTATCAGGACTTCCATAATACATGACGACCGGAGAGTTAACTGGCCGAAACGTCGTATAACGAACACACCAGACGAGGACGACAGTCCGGGCGATCGCTCCATCCGTAATACGAACGCCTCGTCTAGATCCTTCCGTAAAATTTACTGTAGTTGTAATGACGCCGTGCAGCACTAAAGAACTGTCGTCGGGCACCGCCAACAACATACGCAGTTTGTCCACAAATGAGCAGATAACGTGCACGATTCGTCGAGCACCGCCAACAACATACGCAGTTTGTCCGAAAAATGAGCACATAACGTGCCTTGATCCGAGCACCGCCAGCCGGTGATGGAGAATGCGCGTCGCTCACGAACGGCACGCCTTCCCACACAGTCAAAACGTGCGCCGGTCAGCTGATAAGGTCGGCGACAAAACTGAATCACAATGTGCACGCTTCGGCGATAGCGAATCTTGTCTGTCTACACGCTGATTGCCTTGTGCTTGGGTTTCATTAATCCGGGCGCTACAAAGACAAAACATTGCCGCACCAGCACAGCGCCCTGCAGTACCGGTCCACGCCGGTGGCGTCCGTTCTCGACCCGGATCATATCACCGGCCATCCCTTCCTGGAGCGGTCTGAACGAGCGGAGCGGACGGCGTGCGGGCTACCGGCCGGGCTGGTAGCGGGCTGAATATAAAATTGCGTCCTCTTCCTTCTCATTTGTCGTTGAACCCTGACATCGGCAGTGTTCGTGTAGTTAGGTACTGAACAGATTTAATGGTCCAGGTGCTTTTACCACTGCTCCATGCAAGCCACATCAGTAGTAGGCCAACAAAGCTGTGCATTAGATGAATGACATAATGTTTGTCACACATTTCACGTTAAGGTCTAAAACTTAGAAGAAAAAAAATTGTTTCAGGTTTCGGACAAAACGAGCAGATGCAGGGAAAAAGAGATCATACCCATTGTCAGAACTTGTATCGAGCTTTCAAGGCAAAACACGAACACAGTCCAAGTGTCAGAACTTCTATCAAACTTTCAAGGCAGAACACGACCACAGTCAAAGTTTTTGGAAATTGGCCAAAATATTTACTTTGAAGGTGTGACATCCCCAAAATATGCTAAGATAGTAACATGTACATTCATAACAATACGGCACCGTGTCTCTAGCATTCTAAAGGCACAATTTTGCAAAGTCATATCAAGCAAGCCTCTCGGCATGCGAGTTTGACAAGCCGTATTAACCTGCCCCTACTGCCCAAATGAATTGTCAAAATAATGACACACAATGAACTAATTATATATGGTCACACCACTGAATAAAGGTATATGTACAGGTATAGGATATAGGTCCAGTATCTTGGAAAGAGCACAATGAAGTAGTGTATTGCCTTCCTACACCCCTATAGCACAGGAAACGCTTGTGTTTTTGTGATTTGTCGGCATCACCTCGACCTGTCATGTTCAAATGCAAACATAAAGATAGGGGCAGAGGTCTATGGATCACATTTTATTAGAATTCATTGCACTTACAGAATATAAAAACAACGTTCTCCCTCAGCAGTACACATCTAGTACTCACACTCCATATCAACATGAATCCAAAGCCGCCGGCACGCACTACCAGTATCACACCCATTGCATGCGCCTGATTCACACATAAACATATCACATAGATGTGATCCCGCACTTACAACCCACAGGACTATCAAATTCGCATGCAGCCACACAGAAGATGCAATCACGCACGGACGCAGCCACAGCTGGGAGTTCATGATAATATATCTCAAGACGTTTTCCTTCAGACACAACTTCCTTTTAAAAGAAGACTCCTCATAGAATACAAGTTAGACAGTTGGTTATGCATGTATGTATGTATGTGTATATATATATATATATATAATTGTTCTTAAAATTTTATGATAGCTTGTTAGCCCATACACCCGGTGCACAACACGCCAACCCATCTATTTCTTTAAAAAAAAAACGTTAGGAGAAGAGAAGACGCCAGCATGAGAAAGAAACAGCTTTGCTGTCGCGTGTCATTTTTTATATAATATTGGAGAGAGTGCCATTCTTTTTCCCATCGCGTACTTTTTGTAGACAGTGGCGCAATTTTTTCTCATGCCGGCTACAGGATCACTGGACCACATCCAGGTCGCTGTCAGATCACGTCCAGCAGTCCATGTTGCTTCCCGATCAAGTGCATCGGATCTCGTCCAGCCGCTCAGACTGCTCTCATATCAGATCCAGCCGGACGCCGCCGTTATTTCCGCTGTCTTCGAGAGAGTTAGTGACCTTGGCCGTCTCCAGGCGACAGTCCCTCACCTGGCTTCGCCACCGACGCGACAACCACATCAGCAGCAATGGATCCATGATGCCATACAAAAACGTCAGAAGGAGGTGGTTGAAAATGATTTTGTGGTGGTAATGCATGTTGCCCATGTTGATGGGCGCCAGCAGCGTGTTGGCGGTGATGTTGACCAGGCAAAGCTGCGCCCAGCTGTGCGACGGAAGATAATTGCGCTGCAGGCGTGTGTCCTTAAGCCCGCTGCTGGCGCGCAGCAGGAAGATGCTGGCGACGAAGTTGACGCTGTTGAGGAAGCTGTT